TATATATCGATCGAGGTCTAGGAGAAGTGTTTAGGAAAGGACGTGAGGAGGCAACTTGTCCCTGTTTCGTTTCCTCTCCTCTCTGACTGGATGTTGAAAGCCGGAAGTGTTTTCTGGATCCTCGCGGCTGTTTCTGCTTCTTATTTCTTCTTCTACGAGCCGAAGAGCAGGTCGTTACTTTACGCTGTTTCCTCGGTTCGTCGTTACTTTACGCTGTTTCCTCGGTTCGTCGTTACTTTACGCTGTTTCCTCGGTTCATCGTTACTTTACGCTGTTTCCTCGGTTCGTCGTTACTTTACGCTGTTTCCTCGGTTCGTCGTTACTTTACGCTGTTTCCTCGGTTCTTCACTAGCAGGTAGGTGAGCTCTGTGTGTCCTAACGGGTCACGAGCACCAGCGGACAGTGTTTACACCAAACTACATTAAAAAACACGAGTTTTATGTTTTCCACAGTGAAAACCTTAAACCACACCATCACTGACACTATACTGTGACTTACTTTATAGACAGAAACAATCAGCTCTCACGGTGTTCACTCACGAGCCTTTATTTCAGCTCAACGTGACTTTTAAGATGACGTCATGTGAGCAACACGTGTGGACTAATATTGTAAACACGTCAGCAAAATATCTACTTTGACTTTATTTGAATATCTGATTAATACCTTAAATGTTAAATATTAGCCGAGAACCACGTGACAGTCACATGGTGATGACGTCATGTGTGACAGACACCAGAGAGATGGTAACGTTAAATCACTATATATATATATATATATAAATATATATATATATATATATATAAATATATATATATATATATATATATAAATATATATATATATATAGTATGATTAAAAATATACTAAAAAATAATATAAAATAATTTAGTGAAATCAACAAATACAAATGAAGCAGTAAAGCGATGACATCACATGAAAGCCAGTCTGTAAAAAAAGGTTTCAAGAAGTGATTTATTGATGATGGATAATCACAATATCCTGTAATATCATTACTTTTAATGGCTGTAACAGATACATGATTAGCATCCTCCATCCTCTCTCCTGCCTCCTACAGAATGTCCTCGTCTCTCCCACATCGCGTCGTCTGGCGTTCGGGGGGGCTGGTGGCCTACCTGCACCCGCGGCCCTGGACCCCCGGCTCTGTGGTCCTGGAGCGCAGTGCGCCCGGCAGCCCACCGGGAGGCAGCGTCTTCCAGCTGGAGGAGCCCGAGTACCTGAGCTGGATGTCAGGGGCAAGAGCCGTGGCCCAGCTGCTGAGCGACCGGTTGGGGGTCCGGAGGTGTGCGCTCGTCAGCCGACCGCACCGGGACAGACCGGCCCAGGTGAGGGTCTGTAGGAAGGACTTAAAGATAATTATCTTTAAAATTAAAATGTAAAAGTGTTGTTGTTAATTGCAAACAGTCAGCTTTTTGTTGAATTTGAGTCCTGTCGTGATGGGAAGAGACCCAGTAGGATAAGATAAGATGAGATGAGCCTTCATTCATTTACAGTATAAATAAGTAATATAACAGCAAAGAACATTAAATAAGTAAGTACAGTTCCCAGCAGCCTTAGGTGTGCCTAGCTGGTTCCTAAATAATATATATTATTGATTTATGTATTGTTTTTATTCCCACAGATCCGAGTCCTCCCTCTCCACGGTCTGGATGCAGAGTGGCGCCCCCACCTGGCGGGAGAAGAGGAACACAGCGCCCACGACCCGGGCTTCTGCACCTCCAAGACCGCCCCCCGGTGGACCGACTCCAGCCTGACCGAGATCCAGACCAGGATCCGGGCCGTGCTCCCGTCGCCCGACGCCCGACCCGACCTGACGTTCCTCGGGGACGACCCGGCTCACCCGGGCCTGTTTTCACGCATCGTTCGCGGGGAGGAGCGGCAGCAGTGGCGGGTGTGGGAGGACGACGCCCACGTGGCCTTTCTCACGCCGTTCCCCAACACGCCCGGCTTCACCGTGCTGGTGCCGCGCCGACCTTTGACCTCGGATATATTCCGACTAGAGAAAGAGGACTACGAGGGGCTGGTGCTGGCGACCCGGAAGGCGGCGAGGCTTCTGGAGGAGGGGTTAGGCGCCTCGGGGGTGGGGCTTATCTTTGAGGGCTTTGAGATCAACTACGCTCACGCTAAGTTGATACCGCTGCTTCTACCGCCGTCATCAGGGACCGGAGAGGAAGCCGCTAAACCGCCGCC